CCGGCAGCACAGAACACATTTGGCTCCACTGCGTCACCGGCAGCACAGAACACATTTGGCTCCACTGCGTCACCGGCAGCACAGAACACATTTGGCCCCTCGGCGGCACCGGCAGCAAAGAACACATTTGGTTCTTCAGCGGTACAAACGGCACCGACCACGTTTGGTTCTTCAGCGGCACCTGCAGCACAGACCCCCTTTGGCTCCTCAGCGGGAGCACAGGCCACCTTTGGTTCTTCAGCGGCGGCGCCAAACTCTTTCAACTTCGGTGGAGGAGCATCATCCACCCCAGCCCCTAACACCGCCCCGCCCTCTTTCCCCTTTGGGTCGACTGCCGCCACGACAGCTGCCAGTTTTGGGACGCCTGCTAAACCAGCGTTTGGAAGCAGCTCCACTGGGTTTGCTTTCGGCGGCACCGCTGCCCCCTCGGCGGCCCCCTCGGCTGCTCCGAGCTTCGGTTCAGCCGCACAGACTCAGAGCTCCTCCTCCAACTTCTCTTTTGGAAATGCGGCTCCTCAGCAGGCGGCCCCCGGTCCGGCTCAGCCTGCATCCGGTGGATTTAACTTCGGAGCTGCGATGCCATGCCCCCAGTTTGGAACACCAGCCCCCAGTAACCCTGCACCACAGATGGGAGGCTTCAATTTCGGGGCTGCTGCTGCTGACAAACCAGCTTTTGGTAAGAAATAAAACACATTTTATAAAACCTTGAACTGCTCTATGATACACTAAATGTATGTAATTGTTTATAGTAAGATAAAGTACAAGCTTTGTGAGAGAATGCAGCTTTAATATTTAAGATCGAAACTACAATATTTTGCAAACATGTCAGTCTTTTGAATGAGAATAATACAATATCTCATTTAAAACCTAAAACGGTCCTGCGCCATAGAGAGAAAGAAATGGGAATGTTAGAAACCATTATTAAGTCCAATGCTGAATGGGAAAACTGCTATTTTGATTAGGGATCGACCGATATGGCTTTTTCAAGGCCGATACCGATTATTAGTAATCAAGGAGACCGATAACCGATATTTGGAACCGATATACATTTTCAGTAGATCAGAAAATCTTGGTATCAAAATGTAGAATAACAACTTCTATGAAATGCCTTTTTATGTTTAATGAACTTTTCAACATCTTAAAACTGGTTTCCTCTCTGTGACCCTGAGTAAAGTAAATGAAGTTAAAATAAAAACTGCTAAAACTTGTTCTGAACTTCTGATATTTGAGTCTCACTCATTTAGTAGTCCCAATTCAGCAGCACCAGATTGTGGTGCAGAAAGCAGAGTTGCTGTGAGGCTCCACGAGCAGCCGTCACAGCGCGTCACAGTTTCTCCGCTGCGAGACGCTACCCGCCCCCCTGTCCCTTTGTAACTGGGAAACTGATAGAATTAGATCGTGGTGTTTTTGCAATTTCACTCAGCATAGGGAATTGGGATGTTTATTGAACTTTGGCTTTCAACTGATTTACCTT